CTTGAGGCGATAAGGGAAGTAGAAGAGCTAAAGCAAGCGATGGAGGAAAGGGAAGCATATTACATGCGGCAAAACCGACTACTCCTTGATACTCAAAAGAGAGAACTTGACGACAAAAATCAACGCATATTAGAACTTAGAGAACAAACAGACAAAGCCCGGCGCGATAGGAACCAAGCCCAACACGCCCTCGAACTTACCCTGCAAGACCTAGACATAAGCAAGGAAGAAGCTAAGAACTTACGTGCCGCCATAGAGGGTTCTTTAGAGGAACGGCGGCAGTTAGTTGCCGAAATCAACACTAAAGAGGAGCAACTTCGGCAAAGAGATCAGGCTATTGAAGACCTGGAGGGGCAAATAAAGCGGCAACAAGAAATAATTAATGACCAAACCCGTCCCGAAGAGGAAAGGGAGGCAGCCCAAAGGGAAGTAGAAACCCTTCAGGAAAGAGTTGCGGAATTACAGGCGCAAAAGGACAACCTGGAAAGGGAGTTGGGCCTTACCACCAAGGAAAAAATAAAAAGAGCTCTGGTGAAGTATGGTCTTCCGCTGGCATTCGCGGCCGCTATTTCAAGCGTAGTAGGCGTGATCTTGTCCGCGCTTAAGGCTACGGGCGCAGGCGTAAAGAAATTAGGCAATGGACTAACGGACTTGGGAAAAAAGATGGCAGCCGGTCTTCCTGGGCTGCTGGGTTCGGTCGTTTCCTTGGCGCTGAAGGCCGGCGGAGAACTGTTGAAGTTCGTGGGTAACAACATTTGGATCTTGGTCGTCGCTATTGGGGCGGTCCTCATGAAGAAGATGAAGGCTTGATCTCTTCATCGCGCGGTGCCCGGCTTTGAGGATAATGAAAGACAGTATTAGCGCCACCCTGGTAATTTGGAACCAACGGTAACACACTCATGGTAGAAATTGGTCTATGATTCCAGACTGCATTAGACCAGAGACCCATGCGATTTATCCTAAACTCACCGTCATCAGAAGTGACTTGTAGCTTAGCATATTTACAATTGGCTAGCATATGAAAAGTCACTGGCGTTAGGTCTTCAGAGGACCTAGTGTAGGGCTCCATCGAAAAATGGGTAACTTTCCTGGTGTTCGTTGAAGTTCGATAAGGAAGCAGGGGCTTATTATTCTCATCGATAAGCCTAAACCCCACATTCGCATGCGTATTCGTATTAATGCTAATAGTGCAAATGACCAATGCAGTGCCCCCAACTTCAACCCACAGTCCAACGTCATGCCAAGCGCCGCTGTCATATCCCTCTTCATCTAAGCGGTGGGTATAACGCGTTTCCCTCACGTATGGATTCATATATTACAGGGAACAAGTTCCCTTCTAGAGGCTCATTACCGTCAAAGTGCTGATGGTCATGTGGTTATAAACGTAATTCCTTTGGTCATGTATGCTATTTATGCAAACACTCCCGGTGTCATCTACTCTTATCTGCAGCTTTACCTT